GCCTCGGGGAGCGGGGACGGCGGGCGGGCGGCGTCCCGGGCCGCCGCGGGCTCAGCTGGCGGAGCAGGCGTCGACCGAGCCGCGGCCGCCGCCGCCCAGGGAGGAGCCGCTAGGCCCGGAGCCGCCGGCGCCGCCACAGCCTCGGGCAGAGACGGACCGGAGCGCCGACCTCCGCCTCCTCATCCTGACAGCGGGAAACACGCAGTGCGCAGGCGCGGGGGCGGGCCGGCACGTGACGCCGCCCGGGGGCGGGGCCTCGCGGGAGGAGGGGGCGCCCGCCTGAGCGCCGCGGGAGCGGCCGCCGCCCGCCTCGCTGAGTGACCTTGCCGGGCCGTAACCTCGGAACCTGCGTCAGGACAGTGGCTAAGAGACGTCAAGTGAGGCCGCAAGACAGGAGGAGCTGTTCCGCGCACCCCTTGGCCGGTGTACGCGCACGTGCCCGGAGACCCAGCCCGCCGGGAGGGGGGGAAGCTCTGCCCCGTCCCTGGGCAAGACCCTAGGCTCCCGGCCTGGAAGATTCCTCCCAGCCCGGCTCAGAACTTGCTGCCTCCCTAGGGCAAGGAGTCTGCACAGCCGGGCCCTGCCGGACCAGGTCCCCGGCCCTCCTGTGAGCCCAGAATTCCCTCCCCGGGTGGCTGAGGCTATGGTCTCTCCTCCTTCTGTAAGACACGGGGTGCCAAAGGGCGAGGTGGCACAGCGCTTAGACATTTGAGCTGCTGTGTGTGCTCACAGGCGAGGAAAGGGGGAAGACCATCTGTGGGCCAGCAGCCAGGCCAGAGCCTGGTTCCGCTCGCGTACCCCAAAGCCCAGAAACCTGCGCTCTTCTGTTCCTTCCTCCTGCCCTCTGGGATTTCACCTTGAGCAGGCAAGCGCTGCACCGCTCGGCTACAGCCGCGGCTCTTGTTCTAGTTCTGAAACACCGCTTCCCGAAATGGCCCAGGTTGGCCTTGAGCTTGTAACCTGCCAGCTGGGATTTGAGGGCTGGACCACCAGGTCTTACTCTTTTTTTTCTTCTGTTCTTTATTTTGATTCTAAGAATTCAAAGTTCAAGTCTGCCCCAGCGTCATTGCAAATGCTGCATTCAATGATGCATCTTAGTCAAGTAGAAGACTAGAAAGTTTCAGGGTTTGTTGGAATGCTCTACAATTCTAAATTCGGGCCGTCATCTATGCTTTTGCCTCAGAGTTTATATGCAGACTTTTGTTGTTGCAGTTGTTTTTGGTTTTGTTTAGAGACAGGGTTTCTCTGTGTAGACCTGGCTGCCTTGGACTCCCTTTGTAGACCAGGCTGATCTACAAACTCACAGAGATCCGCCTGCATATGCCTCCCTGAGTTCTGGGATCACAAGCTTTCGTGCCCAGCCTTATATCGGGACTTTTAAGCAATTAACATCCCGGATGACTGGTATGCCTCTGACAGAGCAAACAAGGCCTGTCTCCGCCCACCCCTCATATCTGGCCTTCCTGGGTGAGCAAAGCCTCGCTCAGCAGGAGACCTTTGGCCCCACAGAGCACCTCACTAATCTGTCCTGCTGCAACGACTCCGGGGCCATAAAGATAGCAGATGCTCATGTCCTCCACAGACGGGGCTCTTCCCAGGGAGTGAGGAGCATATTTATCACCATCGGTGATCAGGGCTGCAGCCGCTCAGAAGTGATCAGACACCCACAGCCTCTGTGTCAAAGTGGAAAAGACAATGCTGAAATAAGCGAGGAGAATCAAGAGTGACATACATTTTCATCTTTTCTTTTTAAAGACAGGTTCTCTTGTAGCCCAAGCTAGCCTTGAACTCACTAGATAGCTTATGCTGGCCTTGAACTCCTGATCCTGCTGCCTCCCAAATGCTGGGATTGCAAATCCAGGGCTTCGTGCCTTCTAAGCAAGCACACTACCAACTGTGCTGTGCCCTAGTCCCATTTTCATATGTTTCATGTAAACCCTAAGACCCAGAACCAGATGCCACTCCTAGCTGTACACTGGGGAAAACTAACATATACTCAAAGCCTTGATTAGCTACAGAAGTTGTAATTCTTTTTTTTTTCAGAAGTTGTAATCCTTGTTATCTGAAGAAAAGTAAGAAATTAAGCATGAAATGATTACTTGTCAGTACATTGCATGTGAACCCAATTAGACATCCACAGGAGTGTTCCCAGCAGTATATTTCATTACAGGTGGCCCACATGCTCACCAACTCGGGTGATCTTGTTTTCTCTTGGTTGGCTTTGTGGGGTGGTGTTTTTTGTTTTGTTTGTTTTCGTTTTTGTTGTTTTGGTTTTCGTTTTACCAGACAGGGTTTCTCTGTGTAGCCCTGGCCGTCTTGTACTCACTCTGTGGACCAGGCTGGCCTCAAACTCACAGAGATCCGCCTGTCTCTGCCTCCCTGAGTTGTGGAATTACAGGTGTGCGCCACTGTGCCTGGCTTGGTTTTCATTTTGATATGGCAAAACCGTATCCCAAGCTGGCGTGAGACATCAGCAGTCCTCCTGCCTCAGCCCCTTACAGGTGTACACCAGCACATCTGACTTTGAATTTCTGTATGTGTGATGTATTTGTGTATATCTGTTCACGTGCTTACAGGTCTACCGGTGTACATAGGAAGGTCAGGACTCCACTCAAGTCCCTTTCTCAGTTTCTCCCCACCTTATCTTTAACAGAATATCTTTTATTCTTTGAAAATGTCACATATGTAAACAATGCATCTTGATGACACACACCTCTCGCTTCCCACTTCCCACTCATGCCCTGTCCATCCCCTCCACACTTTGTGTCATCTCTCCTCTTTTTTCTTTCCTTTTTAGTTTATTTTATGTGTATAAATAGGCACCAAGCGTGTGCCCAGTTGTTAACGATAGTTGTGAGCTATCGTGTGGGTGCTGGGAATTAAAACGTTGAGCCCAGATCCCCTACAAGAGCAGCAAGCAGCAAGTACTCCTAACCGCTGAGCCCTATCTCCAGCCCGTGCCCGCCCCTCCTGCTGGCGTGATGGAGCTCCTGAGTGCAGTGGCCATGGCCCTGCGCAGCACAGCGCTGCTCAGCGCTTCTGCTCAGCCCCTGGCTCTTACACTCTTTCTGCCCCTTCTTCCTAGGTGTCCCTTAGCCTTTCGGGTTGGGGGGCAGCGGGAGTGAGACAGGCCCCATTGAGGGCCGAGCACTCAGCAATCACTTACTCTCAGCACTTTGGCCAGTTACGAGTTTCTGCACTCGTTGCCGCCCACTGCAGAGAGCTCCTCCGGCCAAAGCTGGCGTATTGCGGTCTACATGTGTAAGCGGAAGTGTTTAGGAGGCCGTTCGACCACAGTGGCCGCTCAGCAAACAGCAGTATGGCTCTTGACCTCCTACGCTATGGGCTCTCACACGGGTTTACATACCAGGCGTGAAGAGTCTGCTGTGGAGCGGGCCTCAGACCCAGTCCAGAAGTGTTGGTCATCCTCATGAACTTCTACTGTGGTTCCAGCAGTGGGCACATTTTGGCCGTCTGGTCGATGCTCCAGCCTACATGGTTCACTGCTGAGCACTTCTCTCCCCCAGTGGACTGCCACAGTACTTTCTGACCCCGTGACAGCAGCAAGGGAGTTGGCAGGCAGCTCCACACTGATGTCTGGAACCAAAGGCCAGCCTTCTCCTCTGAGACGAGACCTGTCACTGAATCTTAAGTACATTAACACACGTAGACCAGCTATCCAGCAAGGTCAGGGAAATGCCTACCTCTGCCCCAGAGCTGGGAGGGCGGCTACACACTTTACACAGTTTCTGCAGATCTGAACTCGGGTCCTCATGCTTACATGGCAAGAACTTTAATGCCTGAACCATCTTCCTGGCCGGGAGTGTGTGTGCCCGCGTGTGCGTGCACACGTGAAGGCCAGAGGACATCAGGCACCCTCCCCTGTGACGTTCTGCCTTATTCCCTCAAGACAGTCCCTCACAGAATTCTCCCTTTTTGATCTGCACTGGCAGCCATCACACTCAGAGAGCCTCCTGCCTCCCACAACTCCTCAGCACTGGAGTTACAGGCACATGTGGCACACCCAGCTTCTCACATGGGTGTGCAGATCTGAGCTCTGGTCCTCAGGCTTGGGGAGCAAGTGCTCTTCCCTCTGGACCCCAGTTATTTAATCAAGTAAGCAACCGTCACATAGTCATCACATATGGCTTTCACAGTCTCACCATGTAACACAAAACGGCCTTGAATTTCGCTGTGTAACCCACTTCTCTCAAATGCTCCAGCCTTCCAAGAGGACAGGCACATGCCTGCCACAAACACTTTTCTTTTTAAAGATTTATTTACTTACTTACTTATAGAGCATTCTGCCTGCATGTGTGCTTGCACACCAGAAGGGGGCACCAGATCTTATCACAGATGGTTGTGAGCCACCATGCAGTTGCCGGGACTTGAACTTGCAGTCTTTGGACGAACAGCCAGTGCTCTTAACCTCTGAGCCATCTCTCCCATCCACAAGCATACTTCTGACAGAAAAAATTATAAAATCTTCTGATTCAGCTTACATAAAGTTCCAAAATAGGAAAAGTAAAGACTGTGAATAAGTGAGCTGCAAAGATGGAAGAGAGTATCAAAGAAAGGCAACTGCAAACACAGCTCGGCTGAGGGGCGGGTGGCATGACCCTGGATCTCCCTAAGAGCCTTTCCAGGGCGCTGGCAACGCTGTCATCCCCATCCACTTACGTGACACCTTCAACCAACTGCTTGTCAAAAATACCTGAATTAAAACTCGCCTGTTCCGTGTGCTGGCCTTTCTCCTGTCATCACCCCCAACGACAGGGTATGAAGACTTCACAGGAACTGTAGGTAGCTTAGAGGTTACTTGGGGCAGCGGTCCCCAGCCTCCCTGATGTCGCAGCCCTCTAACACGGTTCCTCACGTGTGGTGGCCCCCAACCATAGGGTTATCTCATCGCTACTTCATAACTGTAGTTTGCCAGTTAGGAATCATAAATACCTGGAATGCAGGACATCTGATACGTGACCACTGTGGAAGGGTCATCCGACCACCACAGCGGCCTCGGCCCACAGTTGGGAACCGCCGACCTAGAGCGTACAGGAGAGCCGGGCTGGCCCTGCATCAGCCCCAGCACTGGAAGGCCTGAAGCCGTAGACTTGCCACAAGTCGGAGGCCGTCCTGGGCAGACGGTGAGCTCCAGGCTGACCTGAGCTACATCGTGAGCCTGTTTATTT